CATTCATCCTATTGTATATCGTTTCGTTGTCATGGTTGCAGTCCCTTCCATGCATCATCAACCAACCAAAGGGTATACTTGCAAGCCTGCCTCTCGGTCATCAGCACACAGCCCCCCTCTCTCTCGGGGTCTAGAGCCCCCAGCCGCTCCATCTCTCCATGTCATCGTCTCTGCCTCCATCTCTGGCATCACTGTTTCTCTGGGTAGGGTCCCGCACTTCGCTCTGCCTTTACAAAATGTCTACCTTTACATTGCCAACCCTCACAGTCAGTCCTGATAACAGTTATTCACTATTGTACCACAAGAGACCTATACCCATCTCCTTTCATCAGCTCCGCCCAGACAGATTGGATACTGCTCAGTGGAGGTTTTACCTTCCTCTGCCCCCTATGGATCTAGGCTCCCTCTTGAAAGTTTGTAAGCCAGTCACTTCCTGCCTTTGTAGCCCCCCCATTTTGGGTAGCCAATGTCCAAGTTGCCCATCCCTGTCTACTCTGTTTATGGAGGGGGTGGGAATGATCCTCGTTGTAAAGATTTGTTCCCTCTTTTGAGCTACTGCATCCATATGTGTAGGTCAAGTTCATCAAATTGTTTCAGATCACTCTTTTTTTTCCTCTTCTAGTTGAGCTCTGATCATCCAGTCATTAAAGCCAGGACAAGTGGGTATTATCTACTTCACTCTCCACTCTAGTCCTCTGTGGCTTTGTCACTGACTCTGAGCCCAAGAGTCCCCAGGTCTTTCCACACTGCTGGCCACCAGATCTCCACCTGGGTTCACAGGAGTCTGTTGAATGTGGTAGGGCTTAGCTTGCATCTTCATTGCTGTTTTTTCCTCACTCGCCCTTATTGGTGATGAACGTGGTCACCAATCAGAGCACATGTGTGCTCCTGTATTCCCACTGAGTCTGAGTCTTAGTCTTAGACCGGGGGTTTCCCTGAGGGAACCCAACCACTTCCCTTGATGTCTCCTAGGCGAGCAACTTGCTTATTCTTGTAGTAATCAGTTGGGCTGCCGTTATTGTTTTGTATTGATAACTTTGTTTTGCTCTTAGGATACATTATCCTTCCTAACTTCAGCATACTCCTAAACCATGCTACAAATTGATAGCTGGTTGTATTTTTATTTTATTTTTCTTTGGTTGTTTGCTTTTATTGTTGTTAAGTATCACCAAGTAGATTCCAATTCAGCAACTCTGTGTAGGGTTTCTGAGAAGTGACTGGTGAGTTTAAATTTCCAACTTTGTAGTTAATAGTCCAGTGCTTATCATACAGTAGTATACCAGGATGCTAGTGGTATTTTAATAAACATTTTACTAGCCCTGCTTAGATCTGAAACTGGCTGCCCAGTATCAGTATAATCAGTCCTTTCTGACTTTATAATATGTTGGATATAGTAGTCCAAAACATTCCTCTCTGGATGAAGAGCAGAACGTAACTGCTAAGTGTTGCTGAGAAAAACGTCTATGTGGCAGCTGTGCTCTTAGGTATCTATCTGATTGATCTGTCAGCACATTCCCTTCAGAGGAAGATACAGGTTGGTGTTCATGTTCATCTCATGTCTGCATCTCTCAGCAAAGCCAGCCATTCATTGTAAAGCGTATTCATGCCAGAGAGATACAGGAAAATAAAATAGAACATCTAACCAGGTTATGAATCGAGCTGTTAATCTCGTGGTCAGCAGTTCGAAAATACCAGCTATTCCACGGGAGAGAGATGAGGCTTTCTGATCCCATAAAGATTTACAGTCTCAGAAACCCTCCACAGGGTCGCTATGAGTCAGAACCGATTCCACAGCCCATAACAACAACAACCTGGAGCCTTTGTTATCATCTCAGAGAATAAACCTAGTTGTTAAGACTCATTTTACTGGCCCTACTGCTTCATTAATATTTCCAAAAGAGTGCTATTTTTTGTTGTTGTTGGTTTTTTTTTTTAAGTTTTTATTGTGAATTGAGTGAAAGTTTACAGGGCAGATCATCAGTTTTACATTTAACAAATCATATACTTTGTTTCATTATAATGATTATAATCTGCTCTCCATGTACCGTCAGTTAGCAGTATTTCTCTCTATTCATTTTAGCTATTTTTTTGTTTTTTAAACACTCACGCATATATAATTTACACCACCAAATGGCACATTCTACAAGTGCCTCCTGGCTGCCAACTCTCATTCCCTTTCTTCAATGATTTCAGAGTCCTCAGCTGCTCCCTCTCTCCATGTCTCCATCTCTGCCTCCATCTCTGATGTTGCCTCTTCTCTGAATAAGGTCTCACATTCTGGCTTTGTGCTCTTCTCCCTTGATGATCCTAGGGTCCTCTGTTTCTGGACTGTTAGATTAACTACTCCCCAGTCTTTGTTACAAAACTTCTACTTTTACAATTGTGACAGTCGCAATTAATCATGATAACAATTACTCACTATTGAATCATAAGAATCTTATCCCCATTTCTTTTACCAGACCCACCTAGACAAGATAAAAACTATTCAGTGGGAACTCTATGTTCCCCCAACATACTCTGAAACTAAACTCCCTCTTGAAACTTTGTAAGCCAGTCACTTCGTGCCTTTATCACACCCATTTTAGGTAGCCAATATCTAAGTTGCCCATCCGTATCTATCCTGTATACAGAGGGGATACCATTGATACTTGATGTGAAGACTCCTTCCCTCTCTGTTGTTATTTAGAGCTACTACCTACCTCCATGCGTATAGGTCAAATCATCAAATTTTAGCAATTTACCCTCGTTTCCTTTATCAAAAATTGCTTTCTTTTTTATCTTCCTCTAGTCAGGTTCTAAGGAGCTCTGGCAGTGTAGTGGTTACAAATCAGGCTGCTAACCTCAGGATCAGCCGTTCAAAATTACCAGCTGATTTCAAAATGTATTACATGGCTACAGTGGTCAAAACAGCTTGGTACTGTTACAATGAAAGATATATTGATCAATGGAAGAGAATCAAGAATCCAGAAATTAACCCCGCCACATAACAGCCAACTGACTATTGACAGAGTACCTACCTACATGTATCTCATGGGGAGGTGATAGTCTTTTCAACAGATGGTGCTGGCAGAACTGGAAAGCAATATGCAAAAGACTGAAACAAGACTTCACCTCACACCTTATACAAAAGCCAACTCAGCATGGATTAAAGACCTAAATGTGAATCCCAGAATTATAAAGGTCATCAATAAAAAAATAGGGAGAAATGTAAGGGCACTGATTCAGGGACTACACAGACTACCAAACATTTTGAAAAACACACAAACAAAAGTAGACAAAATAGATGATTGGAACATACTAAAAATTAAAATTTTATGTGTATCAAAAAACTTCACCAGAAGAGTGAAAAGGGAACCTATAGAATGGGAAAAAATCTTTTGCAATGACACATCAGACAAGTGACTCATTTCTAAAATATATAGGAAACTACAACATCTTTACAAGAAAAAGACAAATAACCCAATTGAAAATGGGCACAGCACATGAACAGACACTTCACCAAGAAGGAGATCCTGGCAGCCAACAAACATGAGGAAATGTTCACGATCAGTAGTCATTGGTTGGTTGGTTGGTTATGTGCCCTGGAGTCGGTTCCAACTCATAGCAACCCTGTTCATTAAAGAGATGCAAATCAATACAACAAAGAGATATCTCACACCAGCAATAACAGCAAAGATCAAAAAAATTAGAGGACAATAATTGCTGGTGAGGACGTGGAGAGACTGGGATACTTCTTCATTGCTGGTGGGATTGCAAAATGGTCCACCCTCTCTGGAAAGCAATATGGTGCTTCCTCAGAAAGTTGGGAATAGAAATACCTTATGATCCAGCAATTCCTCTACTTGGTATTTACCCACAAGAAATACGAGCCATAACACGAGTAGATAACATACACCCAGTGTTCATAGCAGCACTATTTATAATAGCAAAAAGATGGAGATAGCCAAAGTGCCCATCAATGGAAGAATGGATAAACAAACTGTGGTACATACACACAATGGAATATTATGCTACCTAGAAGAATAACAAGGAAGCTGCAAGCCACTGCATAACATGGATGAAACTTAAGGACATTATGTTGAGTGAAATTAGCCATAAAAAGAAAAATACTGCACAGGACCACTACTGTAAAAGACTAAGAAAAAGAACCCATACTAAAGTGTGGGCAGATTTTTTGCTGGTTACTGGAATGTGGGTGGTGGGGTGAGGGGAGGGAGGGGAAGGTGGAGCACAGAGCAGGGAATAGGCACAAGATAGTTTGGGTGCTAGGGAGGTGGCCAACACAAGAAGGAGGAGGGGAATGGAAGAACAAAGCAGACAGGAAAACAATTAGACAGGTTTGCATGGGCTAAGTGGGACAGAGGTAAATAATGATGTATGTACAACCTTGGAACAACAGGGCTCTGGGATACAGGGATTGAGACATGATTGGAATGGGGAAAAAGGGGGAAATAATGGTAAGATACTTGGCTGTCTTTTGAATTTTGATTTCCCTGGCATACCATTATAAAATAGACACTTGAGGAGAGAAAGGAATAGCCAGAAATATCACCATAGAAAGCTTATAAGTCTGTCTTTTCCCTATAACTGATAGGAATACCTAAAATGGGACTACAACGTGCCCAGTGAAGGAGGCTTCCTGCTGAGCCTCTGCATTACAAAAGATCATAAGTGGAATCCTGAACTGCATCCAGAACCTTTAGAGGTGGGAAATTTCCACTTGAAAGAACAAACAGACCAGCCTGGATTGGCTAAAAGAACAGAAGATTCTTCTTCAAAGAAAGACCTACAGGAAAAATACAAAACAATATAGGCTGTCCAACTGATTACTACAAGAACAAGCAAGTTGCTCGCCCAGTAGTCATCAAGGCAAGTGGTAGAGTCTCCTCAAGGCAAACCCCCTTCCAAGACTAAGACTCAAGAGGAATGCACGTTGGTCACCGATAAGGGGAAGTGAGGGAAAAACCAATGAAGATGCAAGCTAAGCCCTACAATGTTCAATAGACTCTTGTGAACCCAAGTGAAGACCTTTTAGGTCATCAGTGTGGCAAGATCTGGGGACTCTTGGGTCCAGAGTCAGTGACATAGCCATAGAGGACTTGAGTGGAGAGTGACGCATCCAGCTGGTAAGAAGAGAGGGCATATGCATAAGAACACTCACACTTGCAGATAATAACCACTTGACCTGGCTTCAATGACTGGATGATCAGAGCTCAAGTATAAGAAGAAAGAAGAAGAAAAAAAGAGTAATCTGACACAGTTTGTTGAACTTGACTTATACCTATGGATGCAGTAGGTCAAAAGAGGGATTAAATATTTACAATGAGGATCATTCCCACCCCTTCTATACACAGAGTAGACAGGGATGGACAGCTTAGACATTAGCTATCCAAAATGGGGGGGTACAAAGGGCAAGAAGTGACTGGCTTACATGCTTTCAAGAGATAGCCTAGATCCAGAAGGTGTGGAGGAAGGTAGAATCTCCCCTGAATAGTATCCAATCTGTCTAGGTGGGGCTGATGAAAGGAGATGCTGATAGGTCTCTTGTGATACAGTAGTGAATAATCGTTATCAGGACTGATTGTGAGGGTTGGAAAGGTAAAGGTAAACATTTTGTAGCAATATGAGGGGAGTGATTGACTTTGCAGTTCAGGAGCGGAGGTCCCTGGGACCATCAATGGAAAAGAACAGAGAGTGGGACCTTACCCAGAGAAGCAATGATGCCAGAGATGGAGGCAACATCGATAAGGTGGAGAGATAGAGCAGCTGGGGACTTTAGACCCAGAGAGGGAGAGGGGCTGTGTGCTGACGACTGAGGGGCTGTCTTGCAGGGTATACTCTTTGGTTGGTTTATGATGCATGGAGGGTATTGTAACCATGGCAATGAAACTATATACGATAGGATGAATATAAAGCTAATATTCTCCCATGTAAACTGTAACATAATTCACAATACAACATTCTTTTAAAAAATCAAGAAAAATAAGTTAAAAATAAAACTGGTGGGAAAATTCTGTATATAGCATAAAATTAACTAACGCACATGACATCTTAAAATTTCAGGTAGAAAAATTCCTAAAATGGGTTAATGAACCGATGGATGAAGAAGAATCACCGAAGTCATTTTCTCACAACAATGTCCATGATACTTGCACAAGTAGTGATTCAGAAGATCAAGTGCCTGTTACCAAAAGTGACAACCCGTGTGAGACTAGTAATCCAGAACCTGACACCTGCCAAACTGTATCTTCAGCTGATACATTTGAAACACAAGAAAATGGATCAGATAGCGCAGTAGCAGCTGTGGTAGAAAAGCAGGACTGTGTTACTCAGGAGCAACTGGGCTCTCTTCAGGGAGAAAAGGAAGGTAAGGTGAAACATGCCTCAACTTGATCATGGATTTAGATAAATACATTGTTTCTTTGATGTTTTTGCCCCAGTTCTCACTTTTGAATCATCCGTACCTAATAAATCCCTGCTGTGTATTTTTCAGTTGTGAGAAGACATGTTTGATGTGCTAATAGCTATGTCCAGTATTCTGAACACTCTCCCTTGTTGGGTGAGGAAGTGGGATAAGGTGAAAGGTGAAGTGTGTGAGAAAGTGTATTTGAGGACCACTTTGTATGCCATAAGGAGCAGCCCTGGTGATGCCGTAGGTTAAGCATTGGGCTAATAACTTCAGGTTGAGCTGTTCATATCCACCAGCCACTCTATGAGAAAGCTGAGACTTTCTGCTCCTGTTATGATTTATAATCTCAAAAACCCACAGGAGTAGGTCTGCTCTGTCCTATAGGGCCACTGTGAGTCAGAATTGACTCAATGACTGGGTTTGTTTTTGTTTTGTTTTATATGCCATTCTTAGTGATCTCCGCTATGACCCTCTCTGTTCCATGGACTAATGGTGTCCACTCCCCTTAGATCTTTGGTACTGCCTGATTTTCATTTTGATAATTCTTTTTTATTTTTATTTTGTTATTTATTTATAACTGGTGGTGGTAATTTTGTTTTTTCATGGTACAGTAGCAAAAGTATTCATAGTAGTTAGTGTTCGTGAATAAGGAGCAGATGAACATTTTCACATTACATCCTTTTATACTGTTTGAGTTTTTCTACAACGGATTTTTTTTTATTTTTATTTTTTTATCTGTAGTACAATTTGGTGGTGGTGGTAGTGGTGGTGGTGGTTATATGCTGTGGAGTTGGTTCCGACTCATAGCGACCCTGTACAGGGTTTCCAAGGCTGTAAATATTTACGGGAACAGAAAGCCTCATATACAAAATAAATTTTGCTATTTTGACTATTTTTAAATATGTGGTACAGTGGCATTAATCATACTTCAAAATTTCTACATGAAATCATCAACCCTGTTTCTATCAAAACTTTGTCATTGCCCTAGACAGAAACTCCATACCGGTAAGTACTCTCCTAGGTTGATTCTCTAGAGGAAGAAACAAAACTAGTGAAGCATATGTTTCTAAATAAATTAAGGGGGCTTCAAAAAGTTCGTAGAGAAAAACAGAAAATTTCCATGAGCTTTTTGATGTCTGCTCATATACGAGGGTAAACTTTTTTTAAACTACCAAACCTTTATTAGAAATAACAAAATATGAAATTGTTTCTTAATATATGGGCTGCGAACCATAGGTCAGCAGTTCGAAACTACCAGTGGTTCCACGGGAGAAAGATGAGGCTTTCTGCTCCCAGAAAGATTTACAGCCTTGGAAACCCTGTTTAGGGTCACTATGTGTCGGAACCGACTCGACGGCACTTAACAACAACAACAACAACAAAGGTCTATAAACTTCTGAATACATTGTTTCTACCTTTTTAAGAACGTTGCATTCTTTGATTGAGTTTAGGGCACAAAAGGAAGTCTGAAGGGGCTGTAGAGTCCCAGTTTAAAATTTCCCAATGAAATTCTCCTAGAATAGCCCTTACTAGTCAGGTCTATTGTTGGGATGGGAAAAAAAAACCTCGGCACTATTTTCCTGGTCTTTTTCACACAAATGCTGTTTTCAGTCTTAATCAACCTTCTTCTTTATAAGTCCCTGTGATTGTCCTGTGTCCTTTGAGAAATCTATCAAGATTACCTTTGGAATCTCAAAATACAGTTGCCTTAACCTTCTGAGCTGACCTTTCAGCCCTGAATTTAACTGACCCACCAGATCCCCACAGCAGCCACTGTATTGACTGGACCTTTTTAATTTTTTGAAGGCACCCTAATGAGACTTAAGACAGTTATATTACTGAAAGAACATATCTGCAGCCGCCCACAAATTGCAGAAACACATTTAAACATGTTTACTTTCTGTTGTTGTTTTTTTAACAAAGCAATGCATGTTTGAACTAGAATTTTAGTAACAATACTTTTTGACTTACCCTTGTACTAGTCTTTATCCCCATTATGTAATAGCAGTTGATTTTCCCCTGGAAATCAGGAACAATCACACCACCAACTAATGTCATAACTCCCTTCTTTGCCTGTTGATCCAGAGGCATGAGGAACCCAAAGTGACTGGGTGGCATTTTTAATGGTGTGCTTCTTGAAAACCCTATACAGGGTCTCTATGAGTCGAAGTCTTGGTGTGACACTGTGGCTTAATGCGCTGGACTGCAAGATTGGCAGTTCTAGCTCATCAGCTGCTCCTCAGAAACTCTGTACGAGGTCGCTATGAGTTGGAACTGAATCGACGGCACTTAACAGCAACGACATATCAATAGAACCAGTGTGGTATCTCCTGATGGAACATTCCTCCCTTTGGGACAGAGACAAGAAGCTAAACTTTTGTAAGGGAGTTGTTAGGGTTATGGTAAGTGGTGCCACTCTTATTTCCACCCCTAGATTTCTGAACCCATGAATCCTGGCTATTCTTTGTGTATGGGAGAAACAGCACCATAAATTGAATGCTGGTTTAGAGCATATACAGCCTCCTGGAGAACATTGCCTCAGTCCTGCAGGATATTACCACCTACCTAGCACCATAATCGTGTCTGTAGAAAGTCAATGCATCAAGTTAGGATGATAAGGAACATGGTGAGATCAGGGAATTCCATGAGCATTTATCCATTGCCACACTTCATTTGCTGTGAAGTGAGTTTCTGGATCCAAAGCAAGGTTGAATGGGATACCGTGAAAAAGAATATGGCATTCTGTAAGTTTTGCCAGAAGTATTGCATGCTTTGAAGGCAAATGTAAGAAGAAAATGTTGCCTTTTCTATGATAGTAGTCGTCCAGTGTAATCAGTTGGCCACCATGCTGCTGGCTGTTTGTCCCTTGAAATGTTGGCATATCAGGGAGTCAGTATTGGCTCTGTTGCTGTCAGATTGCACACTCATCAGTGGCTATATCAAATCAGTGATTGGAAGTCTGTGTTGCTGAGCCAGGTACAACCTCCATCCCTGCCATCATGGCCACTATGTTCGTTGTTAAAATCCTCCTTTGTCGAGGTCATCCTTTTATGGCATTCTCATGAGCTATAAATACATTCACTTCTTTGACTCATTCAGGGAGTTCTGCCCACATACCTCCTCCTCATACTTGCTTATCACCGATTTTCCAGTTATGTTTCTTTCAATTCTTTGACCTTCCAGCCAATCCACTGGCTACAGCTAGTGAATCAGTATACATCATACAACTGGCCATCTCTCCTTCCAAGAAAAAGTAACAACTGGGTGCACTGCTTGAAATTCTGCCAACTAGGAGGATTTCCTTTCAGCACTCTCCACTTTCAAATGGTGCCTGCTTATCATCATCTGTATGACATGCACACGTTTTCTCTTCCTCAGTTGATTGATCATAAGGATCACAGGTTTCAGGATCCTCCCTCCTCTTGAGAGGCGCAGACTGGAAGTTGTTGTTCTAAGGTGCCATTGAGTCGATCCTGACTCATAGCAACCCTATGCACAACACAACGAAACATTGCCCGATCCTGGGCCAACCTCACAATTGTTGCCACGCTTGAGTCCATTGATGCTGCCACTTTGCCAGTCCATCTTACTGGGGGGTCTTCCTCTTTTTCTCTGACCCTCCACCTTACCAAACATGATATCCTTCTCCAGTGACTGGTCCCTCCTGACAATATGTCCGAAGTATGAGAGACAAAGTCTGGCTGTCTTGGCCTCCAAGGAGCACTCTGGCTGCATTTCTTCCAACACAGATCTGTTTGTTTTTTTGGCAGCCCATGGCACTTTCAATATTCTCCTCCAACACCATAACTCAAATGCATCAATTCTTATACGATCTTCCTTATTCATTGTCCAGCTGTATAGTCCCTGTCCAGACTGGAAGAGGAAAAGCAAAATGAGAGTAGTAGAGACCATGGCTATCTTAACTTGTCTTCAGGTCCTCTTAAGTGTAATCTCAAATACCATTTCCTTTTAATGATGGAATGCTGCTGTACATGTCTACCTTTATAATTCCAATGGCATGCAGTTCATGATGATCTGCTCAGACTGCTTGCTAACTTGATTCTCCATAGTTAATTGTTCAGTCTCTAAAGCCTGCTTACAAGTCAACAGCTCTTTGTCAAAAGGATAGTTACCTGCCGGTTATGACAAAGTTTTGCTCCAAAATCTTAAAGGTCTGCTCTGTAATTCCCCAATGAGAACCTGCCAAACACTTCATACAGCATTTCTATCTGCCACTGCCACTTCAAGCACCATCTGATCGGCTGAATCGTACAGCCCAAATGACTGAGCAGCTTGCATGACAGCTTGAGCCTGTTGCAGAGCCTTCCTTTTTTCTGGTCCTACTTAAATCTTGCAGCTTTTCAAAGCATTTATTAAACAGATCAGACTAGCACACCCAAATGAGGGATATGTTATGTCTAAAATTGAAAGGCCCACTTGACATTGTGCTTCCTTTTTAGTAGTAGGAAGGGCCAGATATTTAATAACTTACCCTTCACTTTAGAAGAACTATTTCGACATGCCTCCCACTACTGGACGCTTAGAAATTTCACACAGGTGACAGGTACCTGAATTTTTTATTTCCTGTCCTACATACTAGAATGTGGAAATTAACAAAAATTTAGGTACCTTTCACCTGGATGCAATTTCTAGGGGTCCGGTAGTGAGTGGACCACAAGTTCGGCTTGAATTGCAAGATCCATGGTTCAAACTCACCAGCCACTCCTCAGAAACCCTATATTGGGTTGCTATGAGTTGGAACCAACTTGACAACACAGCAGCAGTATGTAAATGTCTAATCAATTAGTAGAGAGTCGTTGATACTTCTTCCCTACTGGATCAAACCAGTATGATGTCATCAGTGTAATGACCATTGTGACATTTTATGGAAGCTAAAGGTGATCATGGTTCCTGTGGGTTAAATTATGATACAGTGCTGAATATACATCTGAGGTGGG